CTCAATGACACCTGACACTATTAGGGCCCACTGGCCAAACAGTGCAACGGCTTCAAACACCAGGGCAAGAGCAATGGCCCCAAATATGAAAGGCATGATGTAATTCACTGTAGCTGAGCAGAAGGAGAGAATAAAGGAAATGGAGATGTAGGCCACAAGCCCTGCCACTGCACTTTGGCTGGTAGAGAGGTGTGTCATGGTGGAGGACAGGAGTTGACTGGCATTCCCCGAGGATAGTGTTATGTTCTGCAAGGGGGGATAAGCAGCTGAAATGATGCGTGTGGCTCCATAGCTACTCCACAGAGCAGAGAAGGTGAGAAAGGCTGCACCTCCGAGGTGGTCATACTTCCGGAAGGCAAGAAATCCTGCCAGGAGCTGGACAAAGCCTCCGATCAGGATGAGGTGGACACCTGAGAGACACAGCAAGACATCAGGAGGGAAGCAAGCCACAGGAAGACCAAACACCTAGGGACATCCCGCCACAGATCCCACGAGTGACGTTTGTGTCAAGCCCTGCGGCCTCTACCTTTTCCTCAGCTCCCACCTTGACGACAAATTTCTGTGCTGAGCCTTGTTGCGCAGCCACTGAGCCCCTCGGTATGCTCAGCAGGAGGAGCGGGGCCAGGAGCACCAGTCTGGTTTGGATCTATGAAGGCTGGGGAATGGCATATGAAGGGTTTGGACCAGACACCTGGTAGGGGTGTCCCAAAAGAGCACTGTCACCCACCTGCGAGGACATCCTCTGCTCCCTGCGGCCTGAGGCCTGTGTGTGCTGTGGCAAAGTTCTGCAGGCAGAGGAGGAAGGCGCTGACGACGTTTGCCAGGAGCCCCAGCACAGCCGGCTCACTGTAGAAGACAGCTGCAAAACCCACCGTGCTCACCATGGCCCTTTCAGACAAAACAACAATGTCAGTGGTCACCCCCGCAACCTCACCGTCTCTCCACATGTGTCTGCGTCTAGACCAGAGTTCTTCGGCCTTGGGCACTCAGCCAGAGTCCAGAGCCTTGCCCCTGCTCCAAAAGGGAGAAGCTGGTGACAGGCTCAGGTGTTTCCAACATGCCTCCCTCCTCATCACATGGGACAAAGGCTCCATTCAAAGAACAACTTTAGGTGCCTACTTTCCAGAGGCCTATCCAGAAAAAACACACACAACCTATTTAGGCGACAAAGATTTCTGGCAAAAACATGTTTAGGTGCCCCAAAGCATTGCAGGTGGTGGTGATGGTTCCAGTCTTCTCTTCTCTGGGCTGCTGGAGATGGAGAGGAATGAATAGCCTAACACAAATGAACAAACATTCAGATTAAACCCACAAAGTATTTTTGAGCCAATTCAGGACATTTCTTATCCACTGTTACAGACAAACAGGCAGGCACTGCACACACATACACAGTCTCCCTTCCAGATGGAATTTTCCAGCTCCATCCCTTTCTTAAAACCCCAGTGACTAAATAGTCTATTTTCAAACCCTTCATACTTCTGCCATTAACTCGTCTATTTGTAAGCAGCCCCCACATTTCCATTCCTCTGCACTCCTGGGTACCATGAGCTGGAGTTTGCTCTCTGGAGGTTTTTGTTAGGAAACAAGGATGAAAATAAAACAGTAATGTTCTTGCTTTTTTTTCAGTATTTTTAGAATATTTTGTGACCTAAATGAGCTGGAAAGGGAGAAGGTGATGTATTCCATTCTCAGCCATTCCAAAAAAACCTTTTGGAAAGAAAAGAAAGCAGAGCTCCTGTTGATACGGGAAGTGAGGAGGAGTGAAGGGAGCAGACTCTGCACCACCCAAAGAACAATTGTGTGAATATTAATGACCCTGAATCCCAGTGTCTGCTCTTAAACACACAGTTTTCCTGGGCAGATAGGCACTGTTTTGCAAATATCAGTGGCTTCTGAATTCTTTTGTTTTATTGAAAAATGAACGTTTTTCTTTCTTCTATTTATCTTAAAGGATGCCATTTTCACAAGAAGAAAGAAGGGTAAACAGTAAAAATCCTAACAGCTCTGAACAGATTTGACAAATTAAACTCTCATGAAATTTGGAGAGAAAACGTGTCCCATCTCTGGGAAACAATTAATTCATTTGATTGTTTGCTTGCACTAGAGGTTGGGCTTTTCAGTTCAGAAAGCTGCATCGTGTCACAGTGCTGCAGAAGGAACTCTCTCTTGTAACATCAAACGCTGGTATGAATTACTGACCTGAAGGAGTCCCTCAGAAATGATGTGTGCTCAGAAACGTCAGATCAACAGCCACCTGTGCACTCCATGAGGTTCTTACATTTTATAAGGCACTCTGATACAAGCGAGCAGCTTGGTTTCAGTGGTTATATTTGGAATAGGGATACGATATTAAGTTCCTCCAGATGTTTCACTCTGAAGCAGCTCAGACAGCAACTTTCTAGGCACTCTGTTTTGAATTGGACTCTGGAGGAGGGTGAGAAGGATTTTATGGAGGGAGATGGGCTGGCTGGGTGGCTGCTTGGCTCAGAGGAATGATTTCCTATTTGCAGACTCACTTGGTTTGTGTAATTAACCGTGGTAGCAGTTTTAGAGCCTGCAATAGTTTGGTTTTGGAAGGCTTAGGAAGACAACCCATAGGGCTGTTTCCGTCTGCTTGCAGTGCTCTCCTTTGTAGGACATCTGAGAAGTACCCGAATGTGCTGTATCAGGACACACCAGCATAAAGGGAAAGGAAAGAAGAGGATTTAGATCAAGATATCAAAAGAGGATGATGAAGGAGTTTCCCTTGGGTGAAAGAAAGTTTTGGGGCTGGAAGCAGCTACAGACCTGCTCTGCTTGCACTGGGGACACAGACGTGTGCTCCCTGCCTTATGGACATTTCAGCAGCTGGGAGGCAAAGTCCATAACCTCCTCCCTTCATTTCAGGCACCATAAGGACACACCAAATTAATCTCGGTGGTAACAGCATCAGTAATGGGCTGCACCAAGACTTGGAGAAACAAGGAAACAGTGGTGTTTTCTTTTTGAAATATGCCCAAGCCTCGCTTGTGCCTACAATGAAGTCACTCATCAGTGCTGTTGCTATACAGCTGCTTCCTCCAGCACTTCGTAAGGACCAGCTTCTCCAATTCAGCACAGAAAATGGATAGCACCTCTGCTCCCTGCTTGGTGCAGCAGAGAAAGGAGGGATCAAGTCCTTCCTTGAGATTCACACAGTGTAGCTCTTGAGGTGAGGATGGTGTAGGCAATGCAGGGTGGTATGGTGGCAGAGGAGAACATGGGAAATCCCTTTTTGCTGTCTGAGAGCTCCCTGTACAGGGTAGCAGCCAGCATAGCCACTGCCCAGGAAACCATGAGGATCAGTGGGGCACTGCCAGGCCTTTCCAGTTGTTGGCTTACTGAATGGATGCCCAGCCTGGGATGATCCTTGGGCAGCAAGAGTAAAGCCGCAGCCACCAATCTCCTCCACCTTCTCTCCTTTTCCCTCTTGCCCCAGGCATGCTCCAGCCTTAGTTTTGGAGTAGCTGGCGAGGTCCTGCCTCAACCACTGCTCTTCTGCTCTTTGTATGGCCTCTGAGCCATGCCACATGGCTGTAGCCTCAGAGCACCCTGTCCCCTACACTAAATCTCCATCATGCCCTCCAGAAAAGGCCATTCTGCTCTGATTCCCCATTCCACCTTGCCTTTATACCTGTGCTTTGCACCTGTGTTCAACACTAACTTCTGTTGCACGTGCTTGTTTTCCTTGTCTACAGTTAATAGGAATATGTTGGTGTCAGGACATCTTCTCCATGGAAGGCTGGAGCAAGGCTTGGCATGCCATTGGGTGTATATATATAAGAACAACATTAAATTTTCAAACACTTATTCCCCAGTGGCACTTAACAATTGGTTTTCCATCCCACCTTATTAATGATAACCAACGTTTATGTAGCTCTGAGAAAATACTGTCTTTTCAAGATAAGCATGTTAAAAGAATGAAATGCAATGCCTTTTGGATAAACACACAGCAAGATTAACAGTGCACTATAAGGCTACACAGCTGCAATAAATATTACAGCCCTGCCTTTCATCTGGTGGAAAACAGCACGAAGTTGCCTGAGAGATATCGCTGTGTTTGCAGTGATCAAGGTCTCGTAAGTATTTAGTAAAAAATTCAACCTGGCTTTCAACACGAGATGAACCACACCAAACTGATATCCCATACAGAGTATGCAGAAAGTTAAATGTCCCCAAGAAGCACTATTGGACAGAGAACAAAGCTGTGGCATTTACCCATGGTCCAGAAGTTCATTTGGGGATGAAAGTCCCCGATGTTCCCTGGAAGCCCCAGCCCACATTTCAGATCTGCAGTGAGATCTCAATGAACATGGCTGGCAACATCACATAGCTGGCTATTTGCAAGGAGGAGAATTAGGAAACGATTCAGCCAAATGATAATGCAACAAAATGTATTATTAAAAAAAAAAAAAAAAAAAAAAAAGAAAAAAAAAAAAAAAAAAAAAAAGCATGAAAGAGAAACACCAATGCCACACTTCTCCCTGTGCAGCTTGGATTACCTGGTTTGGTGACACTTCAGCTCAATGGGAGGATGGTCTTGTCCCTCTCATTTCCTGGTAGGTACCAGTTTTATAGTCCTCCTCTGGAGGAGGAGCCTACAGGCAGTTGCTTCACATATTGGCACTTGTAGCATTTTGGAGACAGGAATTTCCTTGAACTTTGTCAGTTATTGTCCTAAATCTTTTATTATTTCCTGAAACCAAAGGGGTTTCCCTCCTGTTTAGCAGAGAAAAACCACCCCTCCTCATCAATTCCCCCCACCCTCTTAGTCCCCAGAGGCTGATGTCATCTCACTTGAAATTCAGTTGCAAAAAAAAAAAACAACCAAAAAAAAAAAAAACACACCAACAAAAAGCAAATTGCCTTTCAGAAGCATATATAAACCCTGACACCAAAGCACCTTTCAGACGAACACCTCTCCCAGCCCTCGAATAGAGCAGCGCAGAGCTGGGCATTAAGCAGTGGGAGCAGCCACCAGAATGGTCTTCTTAACTTTGCAGGTAAATACTATTTTGTGTACAAAACTTATCCATCTCCGATCTTTCCTTTCTCACTTTAAGGAGGTCTTGTCACTATCCGGGCAGTTCCCAGAGTGGTCAAAATTGTCATGGCATTAAATGGGAACCTGTGCCAATATTGACAAAACCAGACGGTTTTCACAGACACTTTATTCACATTTACTAACCCCTTCCTTCCATGGCTGCTTCTTTTATACATCCCAAATGTGTTCCGCATGGTGCCGTGGTGGGGCTGCTGTTTTTGGGATGTGCTGTGCGGTTCTGTCTTCTCCTGCCCGCTCGGAGCTGGTCCTGCTCACGGCTGCAGGAGGATCCCATGGCAAATCTGCCTGTCTGTGTGCCCCTTCCACTGCACTGCTCGATTTCCCTGGCTGTTCTTGGCACCCCTACCGGGCTGAGCTTTGGAAAATATTTTTTTTTTTTTCTCCTTTAAATATGTCAGCTCTGAAAGTGAGCTTTATCCGCTCGTTTGATCTGTGTCTTCCACTGCCATGTTAGAGGCACAACCAGTAAAACGGCTCCGAAAAAGTTCAGGCAGCTTGGGTGACAAATGATCTTTCTCTGTCTTTACTCTAGAAATCTCAGAAGTTCCTGGCAAGCTCCCGGCAAGTGCATAAAACTGCTGCTCACGGTTTGTATCTGCCTGCTGAACCCTATCCTTTTTTAAAGAGCATCTCAAGATAATTGTGTACTTACTAAGTATACTGAGCTAATTCTCTCAAATTCTTGGAAGATAAAGTGTGCTCGGGGGGGTCTCGTTACACTGATTATTGCCCTGAGTGGAACAAATGATAAAAATGTTGATTACTAGCCCTGTGCTTAAACAGAGACTTTAACTGGCTGAGAACCAGACTTTCCAAATTCTTACACTTTGGCCATAAATTGAAGAAATTTGAATTGTAGCTGTCATTGCATAGATTCCTAACTCCTGTGTTTTCTCTTGTATCTTTCTCACATCTGACCTTGCTCTTAGTGTTATTTGAAGAGATTCTCTGATTACTTTCCCTGTCTCACAGCTGCATACAGCTTCCCTCTTCAGACAAATTGAGCATGGCTGGGTGGTGCAGCCCCTTGGTCTGTTATAAATGTCACTTATTAACTTCCATCTGAATGAGTTCTTAATGAATAAATGCAATTTGTGGCACATCAAACACTCGAAACAACAGAAATAATAATCTATGCAAATCCATTTGCTCTCAGAGAGTTTTATTGGAACAGAGTCTTATTTTTTAATTCAGTTCTGCAGTAGGGCTGTCATAGCAGGATGAAAACACTGCTGTCATTAAGTGTCTTTAATTGAAGGGTTAAAAAATATCACTACCACAGTGACAAAGAGTAATTGATTACAGTAAAACAGCAAACAACATTTCATGGGTGCAGCGCAATTCCGGCAGATTTTCCTCCAGCCTCTCCAATCCAATTGGAGTTCACAGTTTCCCCCTCCTCAAGGGCGTTGGTGCTCCCATTTGCAGTGTAAGGGAGATGCCCACAGGGAGAGCACTGATTTGGTCTGCAGAAGGGTTTTCAAACTGCTGAGTGGTACAGATTCCTATAGTGATCCATTCTGCAGAGCTGCTGCAAGGGGTGATTTTTTTTCCGTGAGTCACAGCAATGATGACATTCTCAGCTGTGTTTACAAGTGGATTTCAGACTCCCCGGCTCTAGGTGAGTCCAAACACCACTGCAAGCAAACTGTGAGTCAGTAGTCATGACATTTAAGAATGAATGCATCCTAGTGAAATTAGGAAATGGTCATTTTGTCTAATTGGGAAAATTTCTGTTTAAAAAATATAGTGTCATGTGTACTTGTTGATTTTGATGATGTTTCCTCTAAGGTGTTGAAAGAAAGTGTTTTTATTTTCTTGATTCACTCATCTTGACTTTTTCATGTATTGGTTTCATTTGGTTTCATTTGTCTTTTATTTGTATACATGCATCTATCATACCAGCACGCACATTTTCCTACTCTCATGTGAACTCTCATAGTGATATTATAAATTATAGTGGATCATAATAACTGTAACTCTATAAATTCATCAAAATAAAGCAATTTGTCACTGAAATAAAAATGGTTCCAAATTGGATATTTTCCATAGAAATGTAACACCTTCAAAGATCTGGAAATGGTGACTTGCAAGTATAAAGTGCCAATAGTCAGTGCTATCTGCCCAGATCTATCTTACAGGTCATAAATACAGACAGTAACTTTTCCGTGGGAAGTTGAATGTGTTCCTTCCTATCTAACAGCAAAGGTATTTTCAGAGATGGAGATAAACTTCCCCTTGAGTACCAATCTCAGGTGATCTTCTGGTTTAATGCCCTTCTGAAACAGAGGCTATAAATCCTGTGATATGTTGAGCCGAATAATGAAAGGATATACAAAGTTATGTTTCTCTTTAAGCACTAGCATCCTTTTCAGTCCACAGGGCTTAAGAACTTTTCTTGCTGGCTGAGTCCAGACTCCTCACTCCTCATAGGACCAAGCTTATTGAAAAATCCAGGCTTGGGGTCTAATGCTGCTTGGCAAAAATAATGGAAACTGTAGCACATAATTGGGATGAAGTTTAGGCTTTCTTTTATGTGATGAGCTCTCAATGGGTTCTACTGGTAATGCAGCAGGGCACCTGCTCTGCCTTTTTGGCGGACACAGGGACATGTTGACACATCCGGGGGTGCTGACACCCCTGAAAGATGGCTGCTTGAAGCCCAAGTGGGGGGATGTGTTTGAGGCCTGGATGTCCTTCACTTGTACCCCCTTGAAACTACATGAGGAGCAACCCAGAGCTGCAGCTATGTGACCCAAGGGACATTCTGGCCACATCCTGCACTCTCCACCTGTCTTTCCTCTTCATTAATTTCAGTAAGACCAAAAGGTGAAGAGCTGTGAGCTGTCATTACCTGTCACATAGACTTTTAACCCCCTCTTCTCTCTTTTGGTACTGCAGTGGTGGCCAGGAGTGCTCCGGAGGAGACCGTGACCAGCAGCTTTGCCTCCTTTATCCACGCAGTCCGTCCTGAGCACCTGTCCAAGATCGTCCGTCACAGAAGCAAGAGGATGATCCTTGACAGCATTGGTGTTGGCCTTGTGGGCAGCACAACCCATGTGTTTGATATTGCCCTGAAGTACTGCCTGGTAGGAGCAGCTTCGTATTACTGTGTATTTGTGTGGCCCCCACTGTGACCCCATCAGCACAACCATGACCTTATCTCATGGATAGTGTGGACTTTGCCTTGCAGGAGGGCATCATACAATCCCTTCTTCACTCAAGACTCTAATCTGAATCTCCTTTTCACAGGAGCTGTACTCTTCAGTTGCCGTGAGCAACGTCTATGGCAAGCCTGGTGTGAAGCTATCCCCGACTCTGGCTGCGTTCACTAATGGTGTTGCGGTAAGGCAGGCTTTTCCTGGAGAAACTCTGCTTTGCAGCGCCTTCAAAACACTAATTAGTATTACAGGAAGACCTCTAGGTGCTTTGGAGGGACATTGGAGGCCAAGCAGTCATGGTTTGCTCTGTAGTCTTGCAAACTGTTTTTAGAGGGGAATAACCAGCAACCATAGAGATCTGTGCATGACAGGTGGCAGTTGCTATAGCCTCAGTGATATTAGCAAGGATCCCTTCAGCTCTCACCCACTCCACTATCATGTTCTTATCTACATTTGCCTGACAGACTCACTCCATGGACTTTGATGATACCTGGCACCCTGCTACTCACCCATCAGGGGCTGTCCTGCCAGCTCTGCTGGCAGCTTCTCAGATGCTACCTCCGAACTCCAAACCCAATGGCCTGGATTTCCTGCTGGCATTTAATGTGGGCCTGGAAGTGCAAGGAAGGCTCATGCATTTCTCCACTGAGGCTTACAATATTCCCAAAAGGTAAATCTTTTTGTTTACCTAGTAGACTGGTGTGAGTGGTAAGAGCTAGAGCATGGTGTAGTAATTTCAGGAACAAAAACAAGCATAAGCATGCGGCTCCCTGTGGTAGCTCATGCAGCTTTACAGGCTCAGTGCCATGTACCAAGCCCTCTGGGGAAATGTCCAGTTCTCAAACAAAAGCAGAGGTCAACCATATTTCCCCGAAGACTCAACATGGCCACAAAGAGTGAGCGCTGGGAAGAGGGTTGGTGAGTCTGTTCATGGGCTTGCTCAGGGTTTTAAAATGCCACTCTAAGACCCTCTGAACTCAAGATGAGGATAAAGTTCTGCTGAGAGACAGAGGCCAATTCTGCCAGGGCTAACGAGGCACCACTTATCTCATGTTCATTTGGTGAGCTTCAATGATCTTTCCTCCAAAATAACCACCAAGACGACTGAGATTCTGGTGCAGTTCCAGGGAGAACATCAACCAGGACATGTTGCCATTGGGCGTGTTGCATAAGGACACTTTATTTGCATGGAAGAGTGAAATTTTGGGTGAAAATTTAGCAATATGGGCACGAGTCATGCCACCTCTTAGGGAGAACAAAAAAAAAAAAAGCTTTCTGGAGATGGTAATCTTACTCTTCTTTCTCCAGTGAAGTTTCAAGCAGACATTTAGTCTGCATATGGCTAAATATTGAGTCAGGTGAACCCCATCCACCACAGATCCATGAGAGATTTCCACTGGCTGGTTTCCACTGACACTTCCACGCTTATACCTGCAATTTCCCCTTTAGGTTCCACCCTCCTTCAGTAGTCGGTACTATGGGCAGTGCTGCAGCCACTGCAAAGCTGCTGTCTCTCAGCATGACCCAGTGTACCCATGCCTTGGGCATCGCTGCTTCGCTCGCAGGAGCACCCATGGCAAATGCTGCCACACAAGCCAAGCCATTGCATATTGGGAATGCCACCCGCCTGGGCTTTGAAGCAGCACTGCTGGCTGCCCGAGGAATGGAAGCTAACCCTTTCATTCTGGATGATATCTCTGGTTGCTCTGGATTCAGTGCTTTTTATAGCATCTATCAACCCAGACCACTGCCCACACCAAGTGAGCGTCATGAGTTCCTCTTGGAGAAGCAGGATATTGCTTTCAAGCGATTCCCAGCCCACCTGGGGATGCACTGGGTGGTGGATGCTGCCTTGTCCGTTCGGAACCTCTTCATCAACTATGCAGGGTCCTTCTCTCCCTCGTTGATCCGTACCATTGTGCTGAAGATTCCAGTGTCAAAGTACATCAATAGGCCTTTCCCCAACTCAGAACACGAGGCCAGACACTCCTTTCAGTTCAATGCCTGTACAGCCCTGCTGGATGGAGAAGTGGGCCTCAGCTCCTTTACAGAGAGCAGCATCCATCGGCAGGAGCTGAGGGAACTGCTCCACAAAGTGGTAGTGGAGCACCCTGAAGATAATGTGGCTAACTTTGACAAAATGTACGGAGAGGTGGCAGTGCTCCTGAAGAGTGGGGACATCCTGACAGGCAAATGTGACACTTTCTATGGGCACTGGAGGAAGCCTCTCAGCAGGGAATCACTCCTGAAGAAGTTTCGATCCAATGCCTCTCATGTGCTTCCAGAAGAAAAGGTAGAAACCATCATCACTATGGTGGACAATCTGGAGAACCTGTCAGATAGCTCCCATCTGGCCTGTAGCCTGTGAAAGAATGCATTTTTGACAAGGGATTTATCTCAGAGAAACTGATTCCTTTCTTTGTTGGTGCTTTACTATTCTTTTCCAGTGATAGGAAAGTTCTTATCCCTTGAAGTCAAAGTAGATGCGTTAGTATCAAAGAAGTGCATGAGGCAAAAAGTGTGTCTGTAATAAGTACACAGATTAAATTTGACTCAGTTGTTTCTGAGTAGCTGAAAGCGACTACAGATGCCAAAAACTCCCATGGATATCTATGAAAATCCTGGGGTATTGTCTTGAAGCTGGTTCCCTACAAAGGAGAGTCCAGATATTTTTAAAGTTGTGTTCAAGGTTATTTCTGTATAAAATGCCTAACTGCTGAGTCTGGGAAGAGGAGAAGAGGAGGACACTCAGCTGCAAAATGTGTGCTTTCCTTAATGCTCCTCTGAGCACTTTTTGGATCATGATTAGATAGTTGTACTGGACAGATGAAAAATCTATCAGAGTTACTGTAAACAGCCCTGCCTGCAAAGCTCTCAAGCAGAGAAGGATGTTTTGGTTGTTTTTTTTCCAGCAAAACCTTCCAATATGTCCAATGTTTAGGAAGTTGTTGTCACTTCTCTATGTAGAAGGAATGGTTAAATGACTTTAAAGCCTCTATGTCTTATCTGAATGAAAGGCAGCCAATTGAGGAATGCTACATCAGTCCTACATTTACATCCTACACTTCCTGAAGGTGATCACAGGGCTGTGGCACATCATCCCTCGTGGGTTTGGACCGATCACCCAGACACCTATCAGAGCTAGCTTTTCAGAGGTCATCTTTGTAGTCATTGAAGAGATGGCCGCTCTGGATTGTCACTTGGGTACAAGCATGCTGTGACTCACATTGGGAATTTCCTATTTCTCTTCCCTGACAGGGGAGAAAACATAAAGAGGAAACCCTAAATCATCTTTCTAGCTGTGGTAAAATCTGTGACTTGTACTCCTGAGTAACCATTCACTGAAAGAATTCTTACATTTAATTCTTTTTGAGCAGCAAGATGAGAACTATATTCCTATGCACATCAAACAAATACTATGACTGCTGATCCAAAGGACTTGTTTCCAGTATGATCATGATGTAGATACAGAACCTGCTGGGAAATTCAGGGTTGTCTTCTGTTGAGAGGACCGAGATGGGACTAGGCAGGCAAGAAAGAATGTGGGCTGGTTCATTTTTAGCTTGCTAGTAGTGGACTCTGCAAAGAACTTCCAAGCCAGAAGAAAATATCTGCCCAACTGATGTAATCCACTCATAATGTAATCCTCTCATACTGTCTAGCATAGTTACTCTGAATCTTTCCAAATAAAGAAATGAATTCTTTTTTTTTTATTTATTATTTTTGCATAAAAATCTAATGCCACATTATGTAGTCTTTCAGTTTTAATTCAAACATATACAATAGAATGGCTTTGAAATAAAAGGGGAAAGCAACAGAGGCTAGCAGAGGCTAGGAGGAGATGAGCTGAAGCTGAGATCATTGATTGTCATCAGCCTTCAGTCTGAGAGGAATTGGTCTGTAGATACTATGGGCAAGTTTGTTTGTCACCGAGGGTAATTCAATTATTAATATGACACAAACAACATTTATAACTTCTTCTTTCAGCTGAGTAAGAAAATATCCTTTGCCCTTCCTTCTATTGCTGTTCCAAGAAAAAGTACACTTAAATAAAATTAATAAAAGGAGACCTTTCTTCACAAACATATCCACAGTCACAAGCTCAGTGAAATAAACACTTCCAGCACAGAGCCAGGAAGGTCATCTGCTAGCAAGCAGTCACTGAGGACAATCTCAGGCCCAGAGTGAATGGGGCTGGGCTGGAACACGAGCCTGGGCAGGGAGAAGCTGTGGAGCTGGGGAGCGGGACCGGTAGGAGTGACGCTTCCTGGCAGTCGTCAGCACCCTGGAGAGCGGCCGCTGCCCCGGGGCTCCCAGACCGAGGTCCCCGTTCCCAGCGGTCCCCATCCCCAGGGGTCCGCTTTTGCTCTCCACGGGCAAAGCAAAGGGTGAGTTTCCATATCTCATGGGAAAGCTTATCGTTCATTCCCACAAGTGGTTTGATCCGAACTGCAAGCTGCTTTCTCTCCTGACACTGACGCAAGTTTTGGGTAATGGGAAGCACTGCATTTATTAAGATTTGGGGTTTTTTTCCATCATACACTTCACAGGATATGCCATCAGAAATTTTTTATTTTTCAAAAGTTCAATTCGCAGATTATTTCATTTTTAGAGGTGATTTTGACTTAGAAGTCAGAAAAGTTCACTCTGTCTTCCAGCACTGTTTCCTTGATGATAACGTTACTACCGCAGTGTGGCCATCTGAGGAACTGCTCTCCTTGAAAAACCCCAAGTAACCCCCCTTTGTTCTTTTATGCTTTTCAATAATTGAAGGAATTAAAGAAAGAAGGAAACTCAGATAGTGACAGTCTTAGACAACCAGGCTGGGCTGAAAGTGGAGCCAATTTAGAATTTTCTTTGCCTGATACCACTGTCCCCTTAGCACAGTGAAAGACTCCCTCAGCTGATTTTTGCAGGGACTTGAAAAGTGACAGAGTTCTGTTCATCTGGGATGGGAGAAGTCAGCAATGAGGTGGCTGCATGGAGAGGAGGATGTGTAACGCTAGATATCTCATTGCTGACTGCTCCCATCCCAGACGAACAGAACTCTGTCACTTTTCAAGTATTAATACACGGTTGAGTATGACACACAGATCTTCAGTCTTGTGAGCAATTTGTATGTCAGACACTGGAGCTCAGTCCCCAGTTCCTAGATAGGCAGTGGGTTTCAGCAGGACGCATGAAATCTCAACCGTTGTTGATTTATAAACGTAGAAGGGTATATTTAAGTTAAATATAAGAAAAAAAGATTTTTCACTGAGGGTGGTGAGGCATTAGAATAGGTTGCCTAGTGATGTAGTTGATGCCCCATGCCTAGAAACTTTCAGAGAGGCTGGATAAGGCTCTGGGCAACCTGATCTAGCTGTGGTGTACCTGTTTATTGCTGTGGAGTTGGATTAGATGGCCTTCAGAGGTCCCTTCCAACTCTAAGGATTCTGTGATTCTGTGATTCTATGATTCATATCCAGAGGTAAGATCTCAGCAAGCCAGAGCTGATCTTGTCTTGGGAAAGCTCTCATGCAGTTCTATATTTCTAGCTGGTAGTTAAGCCTTGTTCTAAGTTTACAAAATGAATGCTGACACCTGCATCAGGCTTCCTACTGGGACACAGGCAGAGAATGGGTCGTGGTTAGGGTTCCCCTCCACTGGCTTCATTCTTATCTGTGTTGTACTTAGAAACTTCAATCAGATTCTCATCAGGGTCTCGGAAGTATACAGATGTTATTGGACCCACAGCACCAGTCCTGACCACAGGACCTTCTTCAATGTTCACTCCGCAAGCCTGGGAGGAAAAATAAGAGCAGGGTTTTAATGCTCAAGGGAATCTTTAAAGATTTCAGTCTTGCAAATATGAGTTGTTGCATGAGAAAATTCTGCGTTCTCCAAAGCACAGACCTTAAAAATGTCACTTGTGAGGCTCTGGCTTAGTGCCTCCCAGGCTTACAAGGATTTGTGTTACTCTGAGCCTTCCTTACCTTCAGATGACTCAGGAGATGGTCCAGGGATACCTCTGTGATAAGGCAGATATCTGCAGAGCCAGGGACTGGGCATCGAGCTTTGGGTTCAAACTCCTTCCCAACTTCATGCAGGTTGAACTTCTGGTTGCCAAAACGTAAAGCTTTGCGATTTTCCTGTCCCCAGATAAAAGAATCAATCTCCAATGAGACTTCCTGGACTGGAAGCTTTTAGCATCCCCTCAGCTGTGTAGTCTTGAAAGTCCTGGGGATTTGGTTGTAATGCCGATAACTTTGGGCTCTTGCTGTGACAACTCAGGGTAAGAAGTGGCTGCTGCAAGACTCCAAAACATCCCTCCAGATGCAGTGACCCAATAAAGTCCCCTGGCCACATGTAAATACTTCCAAGATCTGATGGTACAAGTGCTCAGTTTTGGGAATCCTGCCTGTCCCACAGTAGTGGGATAGATAGTAATAATAATAATAATAATAATAATAATAATAATAATAATGGTAATGCACATTTTGAGAACAGCAGAGTGAACAAAATTGAGGCAGTCAGAAGACACTGAGGTTTGAGCACCTCTTTTTTTTGCAGATGGTCAAGATTTCTGCAAGCTTACATAGCAACTGAGTGCCAAGCTCTGTGGAAATGCAAGGCAATGAGTTGCTATTTGTGCCACCTGAAAAACAAATCATTGCTCACTGCAGCCCTGGAATGTAAATGGAACTGATTTTAAGGGGACTGATGGAGCAGGAGAAAATGAAATAGGTTTTGGAGTTAATGAGGTGCAATGGATATAGTCAAAACATGTCAAGTTGCCCTATGATTAGGCAAGAGATGCACTGGTGTTTTTCTGAAAATGTTAGCTATCCTGTCTTAAGTTTGCCAGTGGACCCCCAGCACATGAAGTATTCAGAGCTGTTGGAGAAGTTAAAGAGAAGGCTCATGAAGGTGATCAAAGTTCTAGAGCACTTCTCCTGTGAAGACAGGCTGAGGGAGCTGTACTTGTTTAGCCTGGAGAAGAGAGGCTCCAGGGACACCTCACTGTGGTCTTCCAGTACTTAAAGGGAGCTTATAAGCAAGAGGGGGACTAACTTTTTGCACAGTATAATAATAATGATAAGACAATGGGAAATGGCTTCAAACTAAAAGAGGGGAAATTTAGGTTAGATGCTAGGAAGAAATTCTTTACTTAGAGGATGGTGAGGCACTGAGACAGGGTGCCTAAAGAAATTGAGGATACCCCATCCCTGGAGGTGCTCAAGGCAAGGGGCAGCCAGAGCTGGTGGGGGAAAGCCAGCCCATGGCAGAAGGTTGGAACTGGGTTGGCTTAAAGTTCCCTTCCAACCCAACCATTCTGTGATTCCAAAGAAGCTTTGTGAGTTTGAGTGGTCTTCTTCAATCTTACATATTGTTTTTCAATAACAATTTCTCTTTTTCTTTGGGGAGGGGGGGTCACTTTGGCTCCTTCTGCAGTGTGGTTTGAATCTTTCTTTGACTCAGCTTGACCCTACTGAAACTCAGGATTTAATAGTCTGCATCTTATGTTGGTTCTACCATCCCCACACTATGGAAATGACTCAGATCCCCCATTAGAACCACAGGGACCAGGCACCAGTCCAGGACTGCAACTCCAAGTCCTAGAGACCCAAGACTTGCTTGGCCCTTGTTACCTTGAAAGTTACCACCTCCATGCCCAGGACTTTGGAATAAAAGGCAACAGTGTCCTCAATGCTCTTAACAGTCAACACAAGGTGGTCCAGGCGCTGGATGAAACACGGGGGTGGATTCATACTCTTCTCCTTCCAGGACATCATCTTAGAACTGGGAACAGAGTGCAAAACCACAAAAAATGAAGGTTAGGAACATCCAGCTGCTTAGGGAAATGATCAAGGCAGCTGTGAACTGAACCGTGAATGGAGCACAACTGGGTTTTCTTCTGGCCTGCAGGTGGCACAAGTACAGAAGCAATAAATTCTCCCCTCTAGAAGGGGCTCAGACCCCTGCTTAGCTCTGGTAAGGTATGTCAGATCCCCTGGCTGGCTTCACATCTGGAGAACTAACTTGATCACTTCATTTATGGCTGAGCTCCCCAAGAACCCTGTGTGCACTAGGGATGGATCATGTGTATGAAACTTCCCTCCCACCCTCTCTGGAGTCCTCTCCAGAGACTGGGAACATCTTTGCACCACACTATGGAAAATAAATGGATTTAGCTCTGACAGCTTGATTAGGTATTTGAGGGATGAGAAATTTTCATTTTGTTTCAGTTTTGGTTGATTTTACCTGTAGAAAACCAAGCTGTGGAAACTAGGAGAGTTGTGACAATAGCAAATGGAGTCAAGTTACCTTTAAATCGCTAACAGCTTATTTATTTCTCTCTCTCAAAAAGCCCCAAATCCTGACACAAATGACAGTTCACTTTTCCGAGACCCTCACTACATTCCCCATCTACACCACTGTGCAAGGGAAGCCCAAATCTCCTGCTGCCTCTCAGGGAAATAAATTGATGGCAAGTAAACCTGTTAACACAAAGGCAGCATCAAGAAGCACAAATTAGGAAAATAAGCCATGACATTGACCCCTTTTTGCCTTGTTTTTTGCCTTCAAACTCATTCCAGCAGCAAGCAGTGCATGAAGCTGATACCAGTGGTTCATGGAGATGCATCATGATGATACAGGGAGTTCAACAGCCTTGGTTGGCAATGGGACTTGTCTTTTTCTTGTATGCTGAGTTCATATCATCTGGCATTGCCCGTCTGTAGCAGAGTACATGGGAAGTGGCTGACAAAGCCATGTCTGACAGTGTAAAACCAGTCACAGCTTCACCAGGACATCTCACCCCTGCAGTCACAGGAATTCATTGTACTTCTTGTCACAGATGGCGTTTAGTCGTTGTCAACCTCACCTCCAATCTGCCTGGACTCTGAACCCCCACAAAGCCCTTTCCTTCCAGCAGGTTCTCCTGGGTGCTCCTCAGCTGCATGAGCCCTTTTGTCCCAGCTGCAGCAAACTTCCCCAAGACCTTCCTGTCCCTTGTGAGCTACAAGCTTGTTGGCCCCTCAGCAAACACAAAGGAATCAGGCTGCAAAAAGAGGCTGAGTACCTGCAGGAGAGGCAGAGAGCTGGGCGAGCTGGTGCTGGATTTACGACTGTCCTTTTCCTGCTGCCTGGAGCTGAGCAGTGCGAGGAGACACGTCACAGGAGAAAGGGGAAGACAATTAAAAAAAAAAAAAAAGTGCTTGGAAACGGGAACTCTGAGCACTGCTCCCTGCAGAGGTGTACTTTGACCTGAAGGTTGGGAAACACCAACCACACAGACTTGCTTGAAATACCTGGAGTATTTAACAACTTACCTTTCCCTTCAGTAGGGAAAGCTGTGTTCATGTGCTAAATTCAAGCACGCTATGGAGCTTGGAGCTCAGACTGGGGTGGCATACTGCTAAGAATACAGTAAGAACGTTACTAGAGAAGCCATGGCAAGCAGCTGCAGCAGCCTCCTTTCCCTGCCTCTTTGCCTCCAGGATTATTTTATATCATTCATTGTGCTAAGGCCTTACACCCTGTGTGACATTCGCTTTCTCAGGGAGCGCTGCAAGCTCCTAGGTGCTCCTAGCTGGTAGGTGAAACTCTGAGCTAAAGGTGTCATGCTACCAGCCAGCGTAGAGCAACAAGCAATAGCAAAGGAGCCTGAGGGTGAAGAGCACAGCTTTGGACACATTTTTGGACATATCTTTGTGAAAGCAGACTTGTCCAAAGGAGACCTCTATGGCCAGAGGCAGAGTTAGAAATCTACAAAAAATGAATCAGCCAGAAATAGAATGGAGTTTTGAAAGGTCTGAAGCCTGTAAGACCTAAGTATCTCTGCAATTTCTGCTCTGCTATCTACTCCAGATGGCATGATCAAGAGGTTCAACAGTGCTATAGTGGGACTGGCTGGCAGACAGATAGACAAACATACGTAGATGGACTTACAAACCCTCACTGTCAAGTGAAAATTCCTATTTTTTTTTTAATTAAAGCAATTCTTACAGGTGCCGATAATATTAACATTGAGGCCAGACCAGTCTTTGAGGGCGCTAATAGCCTTTAACTGTTCTGGGACTTCCACCCACATCTATGGGCCCAGGAGCCAATGGAAGCTCAGCTCTGGGATTTAAAACTCTTTCTGAGTGATAACATATTGTTGTTGGTCTCTAGCACAGGCCCTGATGTGCCTCTGCGTGGCTATGGGCCTTGTTGTCCTGGATCCTGACCCTGTGCTACTACAGACCTGCATGATAATGGTATGCATCCAGATTCATTAGAAGTAAATCAGATGGTCTGATTTACAGAACAACAAGTCCCATTTGTAAGAAGAGGTATGGACAAGGTCATCCTGGTCAGGGGAGGGCGAGGGGTTGGCTTCACTGGGGAAGACTGCATGGAAAAGAACCCCATCTGGGCTAGAAAATGGTCCCTACTTGTTATGATGTTTTAGAGGGTTCTTTGAAATCAGACCATCCAAATAGTGTGATCAGTGCTTTTATTTGCTTTGACCGACACTTTGCATTGAATCAAGCGGCTCAGGGTCTTTAGTTTTTTCCAGATAAGGCTATCCTTATATTTGGATAGTATGGATAGTTTGTTGACCTCCAGGTCATCAACACAGGATGCAAGAATTATGTAAATGCCATATTTTCAAAAAGCAAAAATATAACATCAAACTGTAAGATTCTAATGGGTTGTTTCAAAATAAAATGGGGTGGGAGGAAGAGCTTTGTTGACAAACCAATTTCCCTGAGAAACTAAAACGGCAGCATTTTCTCCATTCCCAGAGTAGAGCGACTGTGCATGTTCTGACATGTGGATACAACAACACTGCTTACACAGGGGTAGCTTGGTGCGTTGTGACCCTTGTGCTTCAGCATGGGTTCACTGTAAAATCTGAGGGTGAATAGAAAGGAGAGAATTCCTAGAGAGAAGATGACTTTCAGTGTTCAGCTGTATGTGGCACTGGGCAGTAGTTTGTTGAGGAGGCACAGCAGGGGCACTAGATTTGGTGGAGATTTGAGGATTGGGATTTTTTTTTCATTAGATGAACAATGATTTCTGAGGTGGAGCTCAATATATCAAATTCCAGCCTGGGGAGGGATTTACATTTGAGTTTAGCTTCCTACAGGTGCAGCTGCAGAGGATCCCTGAGCTGTTCTCCATAAACATCTTCCTCTATGTGCTGGACAGAGTGATGGAGTTGAAGTAGCTCAGCAAATCCTCCATAGTGAATTCCATGGTGATCCCTGACCCCACATAACAGCGTTGGATCAGATCCTCGAATTCTTGGTACTGACGTAGCAGCTCCTGCTCCATAGCATGCCACACGACCTAGGGAAAAACAGAACAGCAGCCTATGATAGCTATATATGAAAGCAGAAAGGTAAGCCATGCATGCTCTGCCACACTAAGGTAGGGCACAGCAGTAATAAGGCAGTAAGGCATTTCATCACCAGAAGACACTGGTTTGTAGCCCTGAATTCCCCCAAAAGATCATAGCATCATAACCGACCACACTGCAGTTACCGGAAAAAGGTTCTCCTCTGGGGAAAGATACTTGTGGATTTTTCTGTAGAGGGTTTCAAGGGCTCTTTTTACTTCCTTGCCAGGGTATCTTTCAATGACTTTCCTCAGCTCTTGCTTGCTGTAGGCCAGCTGGAAACTGATCTCCTCTTCTTTCACCCCCTGAGCAACACGGGCTTTCACCCCTTCAAAGAAGTGCTGGAAATGCAAGGAGACATCCATTGATGAGCTGCCCTAAGGTGGGCTTCTGTGTCAGGGCTGAAGCCAGGCTGCTCTCCTCAGTTCCCTTGCTTTGACTGAGTGGAAACAAAGAGATTGATTGTCTCACTGGGAAAGCTTTAGGGAATTTCATCAGTTCTACCTTTCCTCCCTGCTCAGCACGTAGGATCCCTAGGTGTTACATTACTGTGGAGCAATGGGATTGCTGAAAAATCACTTGCATTCCTTGGGGCTTCATACAGCTTTGCTCACCAGAAAGGTTTTGAGATGAATGGGGTAGGGATCTGAAAATCTGCTGAAGTTTAAAGCAAACTCCAGTTTTCTCAGTTCTCCCAGTCTATACTGTGTGTAAGCAGGAAAGGCTGGTGCACAGGGAGGTGTTTCAAAAGGATCATATATCCAACCAGGGGCATGGCTGCTGCTTCTAAGAGATCAGGGCTATGCCAACCCAAAAGAATACAGACCTCAACAAGTTTCTAGGAGCAGTGGAGCTTCACAAAATCTCAGCTTGCTCGGTGCAATTACAGGTTTTTCTACCTACGCTTTTGTCAACATGGAACCCATTGGGACCTCTGGAGATCTCTAGTTCAATGCCCTGCTGAAAGCAGGATCACCACTGACTTCAGACCAGGATGCTTTGGGCATTCCTCAAGGTAGATTTTAAGAATCTTCAAGAATAGGCTGTTAAACCTCCCAGGACAGACTTTTTCAATGTTTTATTATCCTCATAGTGTTTGTTGTTGGGTTTGGGTTTTTTTTCCTATCTAGGTGGAACTTTTCATTTTTTTCCCCAGAACTTGTTTTGTCATTCTGCTATACAATTCATGGACCTGGTTATGTCTTCTCAATTACCTTCTTAGGCCCCACAGCTCGATGCAAGATTTCAAATCTGGCCAAATAAAAGCTAAAAAGAGCACTATCAACTCTTCCTTTAATCTCGAATATGCTCAGTAAGCTGTATGCTGTATCGAGTATTTCTGCTGCAGTTTGTAGTGGAGAAATTCACGAAATCGTAAGGATTTTCAGGGAGAAAGAGATTCCTAAACATGAATTCTTTTCAGAAACAGGCATATGATCCTAGATTACATAGGTGTCTTTGCAGTATCTCTCAGTGTTAGTGAATTAAGCTCAAACCTGATGAGCTACGTAGGCTGTAAGAAATAGCTATGCCGAGTGTCTGAGCAGTGCACAAAGCATCCTCACGTTCCTTTGAGCAGTGAAATCGTACTTTCCCTCAGAGAGGAAGGATTTGAAGCTATTGACAAATCAGTGCTGAAGGTAGCACGAGATGCCAAACAGATCATTCAGTCAAACCTACATGGTGTTTGACAGCAAAGACTGGAAACAAATTGAAAAGAACAGGCCCTGTAAATAATTCAAACGGAGATGTTTTAGGCCGGTGAGCAGGTCAAGGAAGAGCAGAGCAAGGATGGGTCTTGGGAGCAGCTGCTGTCTCAGAGGAAGGGGGATGCCTGAGTTAGCAAAGCTGTACGCTTTTAGCTCAGTTAACAAAGCAGCCGTTCAGGAAGCATGAAGCTGAGCTAGACTTATTGGTCCAGGCAGCCGTGTAAAAAAGAAACTAGCATCTGCCAGAAAGGCACGCAACCCAGAGTGGGAGCACAACAGGGCCTTGCATGGAGGCCATGAATTGCAGAGGGGCTTCAGAGCTGGCCTCAGCTGGTCTCTTGTTCTTCCAAGGGAAGCTGACACTGAGCTGTACCGTCAGAATCAGCAGTAAGTGGTCAGAGGAGGCTGGGAATTTCAGCTCATGACTTCCTGTACTGTTTATTGTGGTCATAGATGAGTTGCTCCCTTAATCTTACAATATATATCTTAAAACTATATTTTTTAAACCCTTACTAATATGTGTTGCAAACAACCTCCATTCCATCCTAAGTCATGTTTTCTAGATTTTCTTTGTCTATTTCTCTCCTTTGGACCTTTCTCAGTGGATGCATAACTTTTGGAAGTGCAGTAACCCTTTAAGATTTGGGCAAGGGGGAGTTTATTCTATACTCACATTGAGTTTTTCCAGTGGCTGGCCCAGGGACCTGATGACATATTTCTCCATGTGCTCACTATACCTTTGCTTGGCTTCTTTCTTCTTGCCCTCCAGGCACTGGATCTTCTTTTGGCACAGGAAGCAGTAAACGTGGTGGAAATTTTCCATCATGACCATATCTGTGTTCACCTTCAGGTTTGCTGAGGACAGGCTATTAACTTAAAAAAAGGGGCAAATTGGGTATGGAGAGAAGACCCTATGGGATGGGTCAGGAGGGATGAGAGATTCAGAAGCAATGGCCCATGCAGGTAGTCTGCATGTACCCTGCTCTGTTGGCTCAGCTGATGGCTGGTGACTCCCAAGGCTGCAGCTGTATGGCTGCTACCAATCTTTGTACTCACTGCTGTTGAAGACGCTGTCAGCCAATCTGAGGTGTGCCTTGTCCAGCTCTGCTCTGCGCTGAGCCGTCCCGAACACCGCCTCCGAGAAATTCACAAACTCCTCAAAGCGGCTCACAGAGGGCAGGATCCCAACCTTCATCTTGCTGGGCACCTTTGCTTCCTCAATCTCTTTGCACAAAGTCCCCTGGCAGCAACGCACAGAACACCAAATGCTCAGGTGTGACAGGATCATCTTACAGCAGGTTAAGACAAAGGCCAGAAAGCAAGCAAGCTGTGTACTGCTTTCTCTGCTTACAAATCTGGGCTTGCGGCAACAGTCTGTCTTTATGAGTGTCTATAGGAAGACGCTCCTTGATTTTCTGGAGGTGGTACACTGTCTCTTAGGCTACGTGGTTCCTTGCTTGGACACAGTCTGCCATCTCACATACACCCACAGCCCCAAGAACAAAGCTCCACTGCTATTTTTGGCACTTCTCAAAATGGTTTAGGAGCAGGCTTGCTGTTCCAGCTCCTGGCAGAAATGCCCTCAACGTCAGCACATCTTCCCTTGACCTCATTATACTCAGGCCCAGATTTCTAAGCCAATTCTGATGGGTTCTTGATCATTCCACATTCTCCTCCCTACTGCTTGTCCCTTAAGCAGGTCTGGCTGTGCCAGTAGGAGAGAACAATTTGACATGCTGCCTGTATTACAACAGCCTTCCAAGAACCCTATGTAGGGAAAACCCCTTCAGTTTCCTCACCCTCATAAGAGGAGACACTTGTGTCTTTTGATTTATGGTCCCCCACCTCTCTCAAACAACTGATGAAGGGCTAAGTTCACCCAAAACCACAGAGCCAGAACCCTGTTTGCTATAAACCAGCACTGCCTTCAAAAGAGCTCTTGTCAGAAGTTCAGAAGATCATGGAGGAGGTCAAACATCACTCATTTCTATTTAACTGACTTTTACCAACACTCACAATGCATTTGTTGAAGCTGCTCTTGGCCAGGAGCAGCATGTTGCCCAGAACAGTGTTGAGGAAAGATGAGGGGAGAGCTGAAGTCTTCCTCCACATCTCAAAGATGCAGTCATTCAGGGTAACCAGGATCTGCAGGCAGCTGAATGGGTGGGCCTTGTTGCAAACATCTAGAAAGCATCTCAGCTCTGGGTCCAGAGAACTGAAGATCTCACTCAGCAGCTGGGCTGTCTGTTCCTCTGGCCTTAAGAAGAAAAAGTATGCAATTAAACAGGGAGGAACATTGGCACTGTGACCAGCTGGAAAGAAATGGGCAAAGCTAAAAAAAAAAAAAAATATGCAGCCTTCTATATCACAGCATGTTTATGCTTTGGTCATCCTTCAGCTCTTCCACAGCTCTGCCTGGGGGAGGACATAGAAATGTCCCATTTTGATGTTTAAAGGAAGAGTTTTAGTGTTTTTATGCTGACATTTTTTCAAAGATTGGTTTCATTGTATGTTTTCAGTTTACAACCTTGCTAATAAGGAACTAAAACTGGTCAAAATTTAGTGCTTTCCTATGAATCCTCACTTTCCTGACCCACCCTAATGCAGTGCCACTGCCCTGTGAAGAAGACCTCAGTCTCTCTGCATGTCCAGCTGTGTTGCTTTCTGGTTAGGTGTGAACCTGAGACCACTCTGTTGAAAACAGGATGGCCAACAATGACAACAAAAATCCATCTTTCCATTGCTGAGCAGTGCCTGTCCCATGCCCACACCAGAGCAATGAATCTCATCACCCACGTACTGGCTTGGAGGCTTGGCACAAGCGGGATCCTCTGGGGATGCAGTGCTTCCTTCTTCCTGTAACAAAGAATGAGATAGAAGAAATGATTTTATCCCCTTCTCCCAGACAAAAGCTTGAGATCTGGGTTTCATTTCAGCAAAAGTGCTGCTATGTTATGATTTTCCTGAAGCCATCGATTAAATTCAAATATCCTTTGTCCTCAGGAGATCTTGATCTACTGAATCCTGATTCCACTGACTGCTGCTGAAGGACAGGAGCACAGGATTACTCAGGTATGCTGACCTTTAACAAGGTAAGAGCCATTGCATTGTGCCTGCTGGGTCCTGTATTAACCTGCAGGGAGGACTGGTTTGTGGGACCGGTGAGGACATAGCTTACCTCCAGCACCTTTGCAGAGTTCTGCCTCAGCTGGAAGAATTTTTCAATGAACAGCTGCTCTGCGATGCAAAGGGGTCGCAGCTCTCTCAGCACCTGCTCCAAGATCTGCTTAGAAACCATCAGGCATGTTAGAAATCCCTTCCAACACACTGTACACTGAGACAGATGTCCATGTCCACCTGCAGTGCTATCTAAGCCACCACACGGAGAGATGTCAGTGGAGCAGAACATCTCTGCTTCAGCTCCAGGTGCACAGTGCTGGAGAAAGAACCCTGGGATCCTAGAATCATTAAGGTTAGAAAAGATCTCTAACATCATCTAGTTCAGTCATCCACCTACAAGCAGTATTGCCCACTAGCCTATGATCTTCAGTGCCACATCTCCACATCTCTTTAACACCTCCAAGAACAGTGACTCCATCAGCTCCCTGGGGATGGGCTGCAGCACTGAGCATAGCCCCTGTGGGACACATGAACTGTTTAGGAAAGTTCACCTCCTTACCTTGATGACGTTGCCTTTGTTCAGTGTGTCCTCCTGATCTTCTCTGCTCCCCGGGATGCTCCACCGTGGCTGCTGTCTACTCCCCATTCCTGTTGGCTTCTCCAAGCCTTCCTGGAGACCTGTAACATGTGTAGCGTGCTGGTGGCTGGTTGGACATCTCAGTGCTTCTGGTCACTTTAATGGACTGAAATGTGTTTTTTTAATCCTGATTTTTTGTGTAATTTGGTCTTTTCCCATCAGATTTTTGTCAGATTAAGGTATGCAGTTTTGTTCTTCTTTTTCCTTTTTTTAAATCTACCTTCTCATCTGTTTCTCTTTCATTAATTTCTTCATGCTTCCCTTTGAACATCTCCCTTTTGCTATGAAGGGTTTAGTACCAACTCTTGAGGCCTGGAGAGTGAAAAATCTTGGGAAGTAACAGCATAAATTGGCAGAAAAGCCTGCAGGAATAGCAAGAAAAATGTTTGTTTCTTATTTTGACTGTAAATTACTGGTCATAAAATATCCCTGGAGAGGACAGTTGGCTTTTTCAGCAAGTTGCTTTTTACAATCATGAATGTTCATCTGAAAATTAATACACATTTCAAACACTACCAGTTTTATCACAGCATTTTCTTTGGCTGCCTGGCCTAAGCTGAGAAGCTGAAAAATTTATTTGAAGTGTGCATCAAAATCATAATTAAATTCAAAGAAGGAAATGAATAGGAAAATGTCCTGAGTATTTCCTAATTAATTCTAAAAGTTGGTTTCATTCCAATATCCCCAGAGGTCCTGGGTAACTCAGGCCAGCTCTTGATTTTTTGTAATATTTGAAATATCCTTATTTGAGCCAATACCTGCAGGGCTTTTACCTTTGGAAAGGATTTGTCAGATGTCCTACACGGTGAGCAAGAATGAGAGATGATACGACTGCTCATCACCTCAGTCTTGCGAAAACCATGGGGAAAATTAATGAGCTGCCTCATAATCCTTTTCCTACCCTTACGCAATGGGAGATGATCATTTCACTCGCTGGAAAGTGGCAAAACCAGGAAAAAAATATCTTCCCTCAGCAAATAGGGAAGAGATTTATAAGCCTGTGAGCTTTAGTGTGGAAAAGGGAATGGGGAAATGAGAAGATTTAATTAGTGACTCACAATTAATTATAAAGAGCTTGGGGTTTGCCTTCTAAATTCCCTCCAAATACCAAAACAAGACCGCAAATCATCAGGTGGTATATTTAGAAGTGATCAACACAAATATTCCCTTAGAAGGCAGGGAAACAACCCTAGAGACGAGCAGAAAGAAAGAGACAGTGAGAGCTAGAGCAAGCCAATTTGCATTGAAAACTGAGAATCCCGAAACCTGACATTAGCAACACCACCAAGAAGGCAGAAGCAATGTCACCTTTGGAATATATATATATGTAACAGTTACACAGTTATATAACTGTGCAGTAACAGGATTGTAGACATACACATGGCTTTCCCTTGTTTAAGTGGGTTTCAGACACTGCAGTTTCTCCTGGTACTTCATAGCTCCTGTTTTATGGGACTAGTAGAACTGTCAAAGTACTGAAAGCAGATAACTGGTTTCACATTCACAAAAGGTTTTTAGGCAGGTTGCAACAAATGCCCTCTGCTATCTTTTTTTTAACAAATTTGGCTTCATAGAGGGTCTCCTTAATAGCCAGGCCATCTTTGCACCTGCAGTATTCCCCATTTAATGCCTAGGAGCCAAAAGGGAGTTGATTTTTTCCTGTTTCCAATTGGGTTGAAGTCCCTTGCTCAGAGCCCATTAATCACCTTGTAGATAGGCACCAGAGCCTCTCTATCCTGCATATAATCTTGGTTATTTGCTTCTATTTAAATAAAAGCAATCGCCCTTCTTCAGGAAATAGGGCTTGGCCACATTATCTTAGAAACCACAGAGCAGTTTGCTTTTCCACTACCAATTCCCTGGGCTGCTTGCTGCCTATATATTCATTATCTCTTATCAGGAATTCCTGTTTTTAAGACAGAGCACATTTCCCCAGGAAACACTGTGTCCATGCATTGAGGAGTGCAGGGTATGATAGTAAGGTTATCTTCTTTCAGTTATTTTCTTTCAGACTGATCAAGTGGTTGGCAACCCTGCCACGGCAGGGACTTGGAGCTAGATGATCTTCAAGCCCCCCCCAACACCAGCCATTGTATGACTCTAAAGCCCATCTGCCAGGCTTCCTGGAGGGATGAACAAGATGACAGAGTAGGTTGCAAGAGACCTGTTGCAAAATTGTCTTTCTTTACAGCTCGTATGAAATGCTCTCCTTTTTCAAAAAATCCATATCTCAGAGTTATCCTGGGATGATTACTAGACTCATTTTATTTTCCTGTTATCTTCTGGCTATAGGCTTTCCTACGTCCTCCAGCATCAGTGACAGTTCACAGCAATAAGTACAGCAGGTTAACAGCGTTGCACACCAATTATTTTCCACCAGCAGTTTGCAGACTGTCCCTCTGATTTTATTGCCTGTTATCTTGCTTTTAAATTACAAGGAGAATAGTAATGTCCTATTGACTTTCACCATACATCTTGTGTTTTAATGCTTTTTATCATGTTATTCTTTTTTCTGCTGGAGAATTCTTGATCTTTTTTGCATATGGTTGGTTGGGGTCTTTTGGGGGGAGGTTATGTGTGGATTGTTTTTCTTCAGTCTGGTGATAATTGTCTCTCTCTTGGCTTCATAGATTGGCACAGAAAAATAGGGTTCTGGTGACTGCAAAAAGCTTTCCTTTAGGCATTCATTTGCTCTGTTTCTTGCAAGATGTCAAAATGGAAAACTTAAGGATAGTATCTGAGCATGTGAGAAAATCATAGAATCATTAAGATTGGAAAAGACCTCTAACATCTTGTCCAGCCATCAACCCATTCCCATATGCCCACTGATCATGCCCCTCAGTGCCACATTGACTCTTTTCTTGATCACCTCCAGGAACGATGACTCCACCACCTCACTGGGCTGCCTGTGCCACTGCCTCACCACTCTGTCTGAGGAGAAATTTTCCCTAATATCCAGCCTGAACCTCTCCTGGTGCAATTTAAAGCCATTAACTCTCTTTCTACCAGTTTCCTGGAAGAAGAAGCCAACCTCCACCTTAGCACAGCCTCCTAATTTTAGCACTGTCTGGCATCTGGACGTTACAGCCTGGACTGAGAGGCATTAGGGATGTATTGGGGCACAGGATTGGGATTAAGCAGAACTAGCAGCTGGGTCCACTATTGCCAAATGGAAGCTACTGTTCGTGATGCAGACCAGAACGCCAAGTGCTTCAAGACACAGGAATGCAGCATTAAGCCTGGGACAAGTTCCTCATCAGCTCAATGCGTTGAGGTCACCCTGGGAGGACTGCAGTTGGTCATACCACTGCAAGGAGACAGAGCCCTTGGCTGGCTCCTTCTGCCAGCAGCTCTCTTTTCCCCAGGCTTTGACCTCCAGCTCTAGCCAACATGCATGGTATGTCCCCTGGGGGCCTGGAGATGAGTGATGGAGTAGGTGTAGAGCTGGAAGAAGACAGGCAAGTGCTCCAATGGACTAAACATAGCATGTGAAGCAGGTTTTGACATTCAAGCTGGGCCAAACTGGCATGGAACTTTCCATTACAATGCTTTGTTTTTCTGAAGGAAAATGTGATTTCTGTGCAATCAAAAACTTCCACAGGAGACAGATCAGTTTCTCTTTTTATCTTCAGAAAAACCTGACTGGAATATTTTGAGTCAAATGCAAGCATTTCTGTTGAAATGATCACCTTGGGACAACACAGCCCCACAGTTGGCTCACTGTGAAATCATTTTGTTCTCAATAATATTGCTATGAATACATTTGTGTCTTCAGGGACAGGCTTGGTGCCATCCCTTTGCAACAAAAAGTGTCTGAGCAGTTATGCTTGCATGAAATATAGACCAGGCATTAGCTGGGCACCCATACACCCCCTTGCTAATGACTTCTCAGGATATTAGACATTATTGGCAGGGGATTGGTACTAGATGATCTTTGAGGTCCCTTCCAACACAAGTCATTCTATGATTCTGTCGTGGCATATCTTAGGCACTCACACATCATTTATGAGCCCTGAAAAGGGAAGATACACAGAAGCTACAACCCTGGGAAGCAGCTAAGTGATGCTAAATAATACATAGGGCTACTGTTCACATAAGGGCTGCCTGGTGCAAAACAGAGCCAGCTTAGTCGCATCCTGCCAGCTGCAGACTCATAGAGGAGAAGGTAAATTCATGGCACAGGAACACCCGTGATGAGGGATGATTGCAAATAAATCACTACTTAGCAGCACAAAGAACATATTTGAAAATCACTTACTTCCCTTTCTTCTTCCTACCAAGAGGGTTTTGGCCTGTTCAAAAAAGGCTTTGATTTCCTTATCATATAGTCTGCTGAGGTTCTGGGCATAGACCTGGAAAGACAAAAGAGATGCATGGATTTTCAGAACAGCTCCCATTTCACAGCTTTTTCTTCAGATATTTTTCTAAAGCAAAAGTCAGCAGATGGAAACTGAAACAGGCCTGCTGATCTCAGTGTGTAAGGCCTTTGGAAAAGCAAGAGCCAGCATGAAAAATGAAAACCAGACCTCAATGATGTACAAAGAACCTTCTCATTCACTTAACAAAGTCCATATTAACAGAAGATGTCAGGGACTTGAAGGGCTTCCCAGAACCCTACAAATAAAGCACTGTTGAATGAAATACAGGATGTGCTACATTAATTTCATTGCTATCATGCACATTTGATAGAAGAACGACAGACGACGAGAAAAAAAGACTAAATTCTGGAATTTCAAACATTTTTCTTAAATACAGTATCTATTACCAAGTCCATATGGGACTACTTACCGTTAAGCACATTGTACTTAGAATCAAGTGAACAAACTGAGTGGATTCTTTCCCAGAAGTGCCAGTTGCTGGGAGCTAACAGGCAGGATGGGTTTGGAGAAACCAAGCTCCCACCATGAGTGAACCCATTGGTTCACAAACCATTTGATTGATTTGATACTGGTTTGCTGTATCCTATCAGTATTTCAGCCATACCTTAGGGAGGTCACAGAACAGCACAGGGTTAGCATTCCTCAGCCAGGCCATGAGTGGAGTGTAGGGCACCAGCTCCTCATGCTGGAGTCTGTGGCTTGGTGCAGACAGCTGGTCCATGGGATGTGTGAGAGCAGGAATCTGAGCGCTGCCCTAAAGCAATGGGAATGGCAAAAAGTATCGAGTAAAACAACCTTGAAAAGCTCTAGAAAATAATTGCTTCATAATTCTTGGGTTTTCAGTTCTGAATGTGTTTGAGAAGCAACAACTTTAAGCTGCTGTGTGAAGAGTGAAGCCCACCTGCCGCTCGAAGGTGTTCGTAATGTGACCGATGAAACGGTTTTCAAAGTTCTGCTTGAGTGTTTCAAACATGATCAGCTGCTCAGCCACAGCCTGTAGCTTCCGATAACCTTGAGGTGAAACAGAAGAGGTGTTGTTGCATGGAGTGGTGTGGGCTGCAGCTGCAGACCAACATCACTCAACACACTGACATACATAAGTGGTCTTCAAGTTCTGGGATGAATGCGACCACCCAATGCAAAAGCCAACAAAGGGAAGGTTTGCTGTGGTACCATGCAAAAAGACACAAGGAAGGAGTTAAAATTTAAGAACAGAATTGCAAATTATTGATCAGCCTGGGCATGGTCAAGGACAAAACCCAGCCTCCCCAGAAAAAAAAGGCATGGATTTTCATGCTCAGACCAAGTCCTGTACCTAACAGCTCTCCACCACTAATCCAGTGGATATTGCTACAAAGAATGATCGTTTTTCCAAGCTCAGGTATGGACTACTGGGTTACCCCAAGACACTAAAATTTCTAAATCTTTCAATCTTTCCACCAATTTCTTACAAAACATCAGAGCAGTTGACCTGTTGCACACAGATAGGACACAATGATGTCTTACATCCAGGTATTCAGAAGAGCTATACTAAAGCTTACCACTGAGATTGCCTTGAATTTAATACTAACTGGACCAACTAGTGCCTGAACCCAGTAGTAGATGTCTGCAGACCTGCTGGTATAGCATAGGTGCACCAGCTCTGCCACTGGCAGCACAGATTGGGTTCCTGTAGGAATTAAGCCAATCTCCCTCCCACTTCTCACCAGGTGAAAAAGCAAAGCACTCAGGGATAAGCTGATGTCCCTGCTCTCTGCAGGCATAAATCTCTGCCTTGTCCTACCAGACTGTATCTGGATGTTCATGCAGGCAGATAATGCCTCTGCTGCAGCAATACAGGCTTCCACTCCACTGGGGCTGGAAAGATCTGCACAGCTCAGGGCCTCGCAGTGCTCCTTGCCAAGGTCGAGGTGGGTCTGAAAAGAAGCCAGAAGAGAGCAGGTGCAAGCACATCCAGCTTGTCATCCCTTCCAGCCCACCTGGAAAGCTCTTGGCTTCAAAGAACCAAGTGCTGCTGCCTTCAGCTGCCTAGCTGCATTTGTTCATCAAGAAGTCTGCTGCTCTGTTCCCATCAAAAGGGTCCCAGTATGGGTTTCAAAAGGGCTGGCAACTCTGGTGACAGCAAAGTGCAAGGAGGGAGAAAGGAAGCACTAAGAAAACTGCAGCAGCTAAGAAATAAAAATGTCAGTGGTATCGAGGTGAAAGTGAGAACTAGCTACACAGTTACATCCTAGTTCTGGCATTTATGGTACACTGCTTTTGTAAGTAATTTGCTTTCTCATATGGCATCACACAGGGCTAGGCTCACCTTGCCCATGAAAAGGACTTTTGAGGGAGCCTCAAAAGCACTGGATCACAATGGGAGCACTGCACACCACGATTGCTGCAGCTTACCTGAAGTCATAGGATCATAGAATCATAGAATGTCTTGGATGGGAGGAGACCTTAAAGATCATCTAGCTCTGATCCCCTGCTGTGGACAGGGTTGCCAGCCACTAGATCAGGCTGCCCAGGATTCCATCTAGCCTGGCCTTGAACACCTCCAACGGGCAGTCCATCTCAGCAGAGTGGTTGTCCTAATATTATCAGGATAATGTACCTCATTTTTAGGCCAGAGAAGTTCTATAGCTACCGTTTTCAGAGTGTTTGAGGTTCTTGGAGAGTTTCTGTAAAAGATTCAACTAGAAGACATTGCAAACCCACATACTGTGAGGAAAAGAATCTCATCCATCAGCTTGGCCTTGTTAGATGTGATGTGATGCAGCAAGGAGTTCTCCTGGTGGATGTGGTCCATCTGCTGCTTCACACTTCCTAGCAGCTCATCATAGACCTGCAAGGTCTCCTCCACTCTGGCCACCTCTGCCAGTGCCTCATCAATGAAGCTCATCAGCTGTGTCACCTGCTTCTCAGAAGAGATGATGGCCCGCAGGTTGGCCTGGGAAAAGGAGAAACAGAGGGCTTCAGTGTCAGCAGCAGCTCAGAGCCAAATACCCTGATGGATACGTGCATGTTCACAGGTATGTCTCTAGTAGGGAAACTGAAGGCACTATTTGCCTCCAGAAGTCTCTCAATGGATGGTAGAGATGTAACGACGTGTTAATTGTTGCTGTTAAGCTCCACTAATCATTAACCACTTTCAAAAGTTAATTGTGTCATTTTCAAGACCCAAGTACCATGCAGGATATCAAGGACACGAGCATGGGAAACTGCTATTTTTCTCTCCATCAGTAAGACTTTTAAAGGAGTTTGTCTTTTCATATGTTTCAATTATCTGATTCTTTTTTTATTAAATGATGACCAACAACAGAAGCATCTGCAACCTTGAGTACTCCCCACACTCAGCTTTCTGGTGGAAAATGCTAGGAAGGAGAGAAGCAAAGTCTTGTACTTCTGAATCAGGTTGCCTGCCCTTGCACTGAATTAGGAATATGTCTGAAAGCAGATTTCCTGCACAGCAGTTGAGCATCTATAATCACTGTATCAGGGGGTTTCTCTTCTTCAAACTCCTGTTGCATTGCTACTGGGATAAAGATGAGCTCCAGGTATAGAAGCGGCGCATGCAAGAAGCTGGAGCATCACAGAAGTGTTCCTGGAATAGTGTAAGCTATTCTGAAGCCTCCACCTGGATCTTGGAAGTGGGACTTGCTGGTCCATGGTACTGCTCAGAAAGCAACAACAATGTGCAAGGATCTACAAGGGAGCAAACAGTCCTGCTGCCAGACTGCTGCCTTCTAGCCGCACACCAGGGATGTTCACATAGTATTAAATGCTCCTCAATCTCATCCATACCCCTCCTGCCATCCTGACACCACTTTGCCTTTGGATTATCTCATTAGGGCTTAATTGAGCTGCAGGAGGTGGCAGAGCATCACGGTAGCACTGCTGGCACAAGGGCCCGTGGGGCACCTCCACTTGAGCAGTGGTACCATGCTCCTGCTGGACAGCAAACAACATCACTGGGAGATGCACGCTGAGTTCCCAGGGGTACATAGGGATACCAGTGTGAGAATCAGGCCTCCCAGATGCCCAGCTGTGCTCTCCTTCCTCCCAAAGCTGAAAAGAGCTCTCTGAAAGTGGGTACAGTGTTTCGCAGTCCCCAGAAGAGCTGGGCTAGCAGAGGCTGATTAGTGTTGGAAGAGAAGCACAAGGTGTTATCACTGGGATGTGGGGGAAAAAGTGTTTAAATATATGCATGTGCTAGCCTAACTTGCTGGTATTAATTACCCTCAATATCATAGATTAAGCTTTAGAAATAGAAACATCTCATTAATTAATTTGTATTAAAAATAAGCAATGTTTATTCATTAGAGGGCATTAAAGTAATGTATTCAACAGTGCCTTTCATCTCAAAGAGCTTAACAGAGTTTTATTAACTGCCCTTGCAGTGTATTTTACAGCTGGGAAATGGAGGCACAAAGTGCCTGTAGGAGAGCAAGCAGGAACAGACATCAGGAGTTCCATTTTCCAGATTAACTACTTAAGTTTCCAAGCATAAGTCATACAGAGACACAAGCTGGGAATACAGCAACTATTGGAGCTGAAGGAGGTTGAGTTTAGAGTTTGTGGCTCCTAGTGTGTTTCAGAATATTTCCTCAACCAGGAGGAAATTCTTCATTCAGAGGGTGGTGAGGCCTCTGAGTGGGCACCCCATCCCTGGAGGTGCTCAAGGCCAGGTTGGATGGGACCCTGGTCCTCAATCCAGTGGATGGTAGCCCTATCTATGGCAGGGGGGTGGAACTGGATGGTCTTTGAGATCCCTTCCAACCTAAACTATTCTGTGGTTCTGTGACTTGTTCATTGTGCACCACAGCTGTCCTTCTGACTTCTGTGTGAGATGCCTTTGGACATCACGATGACTTTTGGGCTGAGTGCTTTTAGCAAATGAAGGAGTTGTCAATACCCATTAACCCAACCCAGTGCTCCTTCAAGCTAAGAACTTTTTTTTCTGTTGAATCACAGCCCTTGTCCCTCACCTCATCCAGCACATGAAGATCCCTGCTTAGCTGCTCTGCAAAGGCTATGGAGTTGTTTACAAGGGGCTCGTGCTCCTCCATTAGCTTCAAGACATCAGCAGCTTCCTTTGGTGTCATCTCCTGGTACACACTGAGTTCCTCCTGGTTCTCAGTTTCCACAGTGTCCCTCCTGTCCTCCTGCAGCCCTTGTCTCCCTGTGTGGACAAGAGAAGATGTGGATATGGCCAAAGCTGTCTCATTCTGCCATTTCATTAGCACTGTTGTCATTGAGGTCTCACTGAGTCCAATCTGGTGTTACAAATGACATGAATCCAGTGGTCTCATTCTACTAGAATAACATCACAGCATAGAATAAGGAAAGTCCCACGGATGAGATAAAGGAAAACCAACTTCCTAAGGGAAAAAATGGACATTTGACATTTAGTTTAAGTTCTGGCTGTGATTTTTCCTTGCTCATTTCTCTAGGACTCTGTGTAGGAATGTGTTGATGTTATACAAATTTGAAACAAATTTCAGGGATGAATAGACTTATTTCTATCAACTGTGCAGATAGTTGTGGATTGTATACTAAAATTGACATTTGTGTCTGTATTTCTTGATGTCCTGCTGGGAAATATTGCCAGGTAGGCAGCCAGTCTCCCCCTGGGCTGTTGTTAGTAGCACTTTGCTGCTCACTTTACCCAACCCAGCGTGCAGGCAGCATCTTTGAGAGGCCATCCAAAATCACTAGAAGCCAAAAGCATGCAAGGATCAATGATAGGGGTGTATAGTGATGATGATGAAAAGACAAACAAACAAAAATCAGCGCTCTAAATGTGACAAAGAAATGAATTACCTTCCACTGAACAGGAATGGACATTCACAAATGTGATAGCACTGGAGAGAAATCGGTGGTTCAGCTTCCACAAGCATCTGATAAAGGTTTTCTTCTCATCAAAGCTGCTAGCAGTCCACTTGTAAATCTTATCAAACTGCAGGTCAAAATCCAAGTTCACCTAGATGTAAATAATTAATTACTTCATCAATTAGATGCCATTAACCTCATGATGTACACTTAACACAGGTTATAGTCCATTTTAACGACAGTACTGAATGTTGTGAAAACACCTTGTGCGCTAGGAGGAAAAATGCATACAGAATCAAAGAATCATGGAATCTACCACTGGATGGTCTTACACTGCTGTACAGTTAGGCACTTTGCAAATAGTCACAGACACGATAAAAGCACTGCAAATAACAGCATGCATAGTAATTCTGACCCTGGAAAAGGATACCAAGACACTCAGAATAGGTCAGACCAGCCACTCTACCAGCCTTGGTATCCTGCTGCAGCACACTGATTTATTTTCATATTGCATAAATCTCTCACCTCTTACTGCAGGTTTTGGTGGATTAACACTGATGAATTTTGACAGCAGCCAGCAGATGCTTGGGAGAAAAACATTCAAAGGCCAAGGCCAGCATTATATTGCCTTCAGGATTGCCTGGCAGCCTCCAGCAGCCTATGACCTAACACTGAACCAGAGGTCGTACCCACAGCACTGTGCTTAACAACCCTTGAAGGACCTACTGTCCCTGATTTCCTAATGGTTCATGCACACATCACCTGGTATCTCCCAGTGACCTTCTGTCCTTTCAGGAAGAGCAGGACTAACTCTTCAAGGCCAGCTTTTGAATTGTATGTTCTCCTTACTAAATGGCCAGATGTACGGTCAGAAAGCAACTCTCTTCCACATCATAGTGACCGTGGGAGCATTTTTACTTCGTGCTGGAAGAAGAACACCCTTAGCACTTCTCCGTGTGGTTTTCATCCACATAAAGGTCAATATCTCTACATGTATTCCCAGTGGATGTAGTCTTACAGATGGCGAACCACAGCCATTCAGGAGTTTTTATTTGCCTCTGCAGGACATACGTGTGTAGAGAGAATAAGGGTGATTGCTGAACTAGAAACATCCCACAGAAAGAAACTCCTTCCTGCTCTGTCTCATTAGCTCTTAGCACGACCTGATCCCATCTGCTGGAGAACTCAGAAGCTATGCTTGTAATTATTGGTACTAAACATCATAACAGGCACAGAATGCGTGAGGATTCACACAGTCCCACAATGCTTTAACAGTTGCTTTCTAAACACCTTGTGGCAATATTTCACACCCTGCAATGCTCTGCAGGCTCTGCAGCAGTCCCTGCAACGGTGCAGAGCAGTGATGTCTGGGGGGGATTTACAGCACGCGTGGTTTATAGCGTGCCTTATGAGGAGCTACTAAAGCAGGGAGACAGCCGTTAATCGCTTCATAAATATTAATACTGTTTTGGTCAAGGGAGCTGTAGATTTCAGCATCTCTGGACTTGCAAAGTCAGGGTTTTGCTGGTGCCAGGGATCCCAGCACAGTGGAGCAGACTGACAACCAAGCCCTGCTGTATGCTCTGAGCATCAAAACCGTGGGCTGGGGTCAGTGCTGCCAGACAGAAAATCCATATCTGCATTTTTATGGACCTGCCAAGCCATGCACTGTGCAAAGTCTGTGCTGATTTCAGCACTGGACTGCAGTGGGGATCTTGCTGTTGTCCCCATGTGCGACCATGGGCACTTGTGCAGCAGCTTCAGCTTGGCTGTGGTTCCTATTCTAGTAATAACAGGGACAATTCTGTTTGCCAGTGCTCAAGAAAGTTAAATTCAGCCTACGAGAGGCAAAGAAGTGGGCTCCAGTCCTGATGAATGGAGTAGAGGAGTCAACACAGAAGAGGAGAATATGAGGTTGTTCTGCTTAGCCTGCCCACAGGAATCATAGAGTCATTAAGATTGGAGAGATACCCTAACACTGTCTAGTCCAACCATCAAGCCATGCCTGTGACTGTGCTACTCCATGTCCCTTAGTGCCACTTCAACCCTTTTCTTGGTCACCTCCAGGGAAAGTGACTTCATAACCCCCCTGGGCAGCCTGTTCCACTGCCCACCACTCTTTCTGAGAAGAAATTTTCCCTAATAATCAACCTGAGCCTCCCCTGGCACAACTTAAGGCTTTTGCCTCTCATCTTTTCAAAGGAAGGTTTATGGGAGAGGTGACTGCAATCTAAAATTACATCTGCAGAGGAAAAGAGCTGTGTGATCTAAAGGACAGGCGCAGCACAACTAGAAATGAGATGCTGTGGGCAGGAATCTGGGCATCTAAGTCAAAAGAAGGCTTTAGCCATCAGGACAAAAACAAGTTCTTGATTTGCTTCCCAGTAGGAGGTGACTGAAAAATACACAAAGGCTGTAAAATAGGGTAGAATCCATTTATCTCATAAAGGGGAAAGGACTGACAATCTGGGAGGTATCTTCTAACTCCCTCCTCAGCAGCCAAAGCACGTTAGACAGGATGACAGCATGTATCTTCTCATGCACAGGGAGAGGTAAGACACTGAAAATATCAGGTCAGTTTTAACCACAGGATCAAGATGCCCTGCAAACCTGCATGTGTTATTTGCCTTTCAGACAAACTGTGCAGATGTACTTTATTTGCCCTGGATGTAGAACTGGAAAGCTGCTCTTTTTCTTATTTATTTCTATGCTTGTGAAAACCCAGGCACTACACCAAGGCTCCTGGAACATTCACATTAATAAAAAAAACCCTAATTTTAATAACTTTAACAACACACTGCCAGCTCTAGCAGCAGAAAGGGAATATCTTGTCCATTCTTCCTTTTCAAAAAATCTTCATGTCCCCCTAAAAGCACAGACTCATGCACACTCCAGCTCCCTATAATACTTCTGTAGATATCTCCACTTTAAACACTCTATGCAAATGTTTGTCAAGAACCTTTGTCAACATAAATCAACAGATGAGTCTGAGTACATTTTCTGCAAGTGCTGGAGATCTGGCAAAAGCACTGCAGCCTGTCTCTTTATGCCTGGTGCTGCTGCAAAGAGCTACAGGAGATGCCCCACCTGAGGTTACAGTTCCAGAGCAGTTTCTCATTGATTTGGTTGGAAACTGTGTCAATGCAATGGTCAACAATTCATTGCTCACCTTACTTGAGGATTTAACTAGCCTGATTTTTCCCAACAAAAAGAGGGGATGACTCAGGAGGGAGGACATCATTTCAGCCTCAGACTCCTTGGCACGCATATCTCCATGAAAGAGGAGAACAAGAAATCCCAAAGCAGATTGGAGGAACCATGCACAGACAGAGAGGCTGCAGGTCACCATACTCTGGGAAATGGCTGAGAGGGAAGGCAGAGGGCTTTGAAATTTCTTTCTATGGAGGTTATTTCCCCCATATTAGTATCACTCCTAGATTAGGTAAGAGACCCTCTCGCTGCTCCTTCCTACATTCAAATGAATGGACAAAGGACCTAAAGCTCCCTATGGATCTTGGCATGCGTCTCTCTAGTTTCATACTCATTTCTCTCCTCTATGATCAGTTCTGTTCTTCATCACAAAAGGAAAATCATTCTTACCTGATCAAGAGTTTTGCCATCCACGAGTTTCAGCTCTGCTAAAGGCCACCTGTATGCCATCTTGTACTGCTCTCCTCGGTCTACCTTGACCTTCACCAGAAACGGCTGCATTGGCCTAAAGGCATCCACTGGCAATGAGGGATAGAGAAAAAAAAAAAAGAACAAACCCTCACAGTGTTATTATAAGCCCACTACACAACTGCACAATGTGAGTGGACAGACAGACACCAATTGTGCATTCTGGCTTCCATGAATGCAGTATGGAGATATGCTACAAGGCTTTTCACTGAACATTTTACAAACTGGAAGTTCTCTCTGGGGACTAAGCCAGAGTACTTTGAATCCAATGGAGAGATTCCCAATAATTTCTAGAAGTTGTAAATCTGGTCATGGTGCTGTGTGTAACACAGAAATAATATTTCAGCAAGATCCAGAGGTGATAGGAACATGATACCCCATTTCCACAGGATGTATAGTAGTTACATGACATGTTGCAGTCCCTACACCAGAGTCCAAAATCACTGCCTTATTTGAGTTAAACCTGTGCTAAGATGAAAACCTGTGCTCCCATTAAAAATCAGTTCCAGTACAAATTAGCTCACAATCGTATCTTGGTTCATCTGGGTTGGATTCACTGTACCTCATTCTGGCTATGATTCATACCTTCCATCTGATCTACATATGTTCAGAAGGGAGACATGGACTGTTACATGGGTAACACATGGTTTTTGGATGATGCTTGTATCTTCAAGGATGCTTGTATCTTCAAGGGATGATGGCTGAATCATCCCTTGAAGATATTCCTCCTGCCCTCCATTAATTACAGAAGGAATTGAAACATGTCATTTAGGCCAAACACTGTGGCTAATGGTGTTAAAAAGTAATTCTGTAGTAGGTGACTGTGCTATCTAGAAGCCTGTGGGCAAGAATGTGTCTTCCCTGCACATCTGTAAAAAAACAAATCTATGCTAACCACTCCGTAGGTGCTGCAGAGTGATAATGCAATGAGAAATGCATAGACCACAGGAGATGTTGTGGTAGAAGATGTTTGTTGCTGAGCTCTAAATCAGATTTTTTCAAATGGCAATAAAAGTAATCTTTTGTTGATGGAGGGGGAGCTCCATGAAACCACCCTGGTCTTGCAGCTCAGCCTGTCTCTTACCACACTGGGGTCCTTACCCACTACACAGAGAATGGACATCTTCTTCTTCTTCCCCGTCTTCCAGACAGTAATGGCTTCCAGCAGCTTCTTGTTCTGTGGGTTGAACACCTCTTTTTCCAGTGAGCTCCAAAGAGAAGCCATGGTCAGATGTGCATGCAATGGCTCTACTGTGCTCGTGGTTCCTCCTGGAAGAAGAAAAAAAAAAATGACCAGAGAGCTGATTCCCACATCTCCTGGCACACTGATGAGATACATTCCCCCTACAGTAATTTCCTGCATAAGGGTCTCTGTTTCGCAGACAACATGAGTGTTAAGTAATGTTATAAACTTGAGGAGTTCACTCTAGGGCAAGCAGGACACTGCTGTGCATCCTGCACACAGTGAAATTGCATCCCTGTTCAAACCATCGCTTGGGAGGTATGCATCAAATGCAAGGTATACATTTAATTCACTCTGGAAAAAAGGACTATAAAGCTCACATTTCCCCATGCTCCAGAACATTGCCCAACACATTCATTCACTGACAAAAGTGAATGACACAAAGACCTGTTACTCATCTGTTACATATGTGTTTATCAGGAATAAATCTATTCCAACCAGGATCTGTACTAGGGCAGGCTGCTCCCATACATGGCCCTGCTGAGGTGGGAAGCCATCCAAATTACATCTGCTCTAGGATTTGCTGTATAGCACAGTGGAGCTTGGATATATCAACATTTCCAAGGACTAAGGAGTCAAAACTGATGGTCAAAGCAGCGTTTAAAAATAAATAGAACTGCAAAGTTCCAGAGCAGCCAACAGCTATTTGCTCTGATATACTGTGCATTGGATAGCTAAGTACTTCCATAAGAAAATACAAGAGATAACTCTTCAAAAAGAAAACTTCTTTGTTCCAAGTCATCATAGCATCTTGAGCCACAGGACCTTGTTGACAAACAGAATAAAAGCTATAAGCAATTTGTGGCCTGGTAATTTTTGTCAGACCTAAAACTCTTGGAGCTGTATTTCCCCTGCATGTCAAATCCGACACTATGAGGGAGGAGATGTCAATTCACGTCTGTATAAGCATGGGGAAATAACCAGCAGTCATATTATGGTCCTTGAATTGGTGGTGAGAAAATAAACACATTGGCTATAGCTAAAAAGTTACATTTAATGCAAATATTTTAGTAAGAATTAGGAATAAATGACAGCCTGCAAGAAAACAGTAATATTCAGAAAACTCACTGCTACCAAAATTTATGAGTTGCTTGGTGATAAATTGAAACAAATGGAACCTCCAATAACTCCCTTCCTTAGTGATGGGGATTTCAGCTCAGCCACAGAGTCAGTAAGCTTGAAATCACATCCGCAATTATTAAAAGCCTTTTCTTCTGTGGCTGTGACAAAAAAAAAAAAAAAAAAAAAAAATTTAAAAAAAAAAAAAAAAAAGAGAGAGAGAGAAAGAATTTGCTGCTAAAATAATTCTGTTGCCACAGCATCTCTTTGAATGCAGTCCCTCTTGGGGGTTTTCTTGTTTCCTCAATCCCCGTCAATTTTCCAACCTCTCTGATGGCATTGACCTCCAGAGACAGGGACGGCAGCTCCAGACCCAGCACTGGTGCTTTTAGGCTCACTAATACATTTATAATAGCACTTGAGTGGCAGCTGAAGGCAACTGATTGAAAGCCAAAGCAATGGAGGGCTCACTGCTGGCTGATATGCTGACGCAGAAAGTATGGTCCTTTCCACCAGTGTAACTGAATAGCTCTCTGTGGCCAAGCCACTTAATCCCCATTTCCTACAAAGCACCAAAAATACTTAAAGATCTTGGTGAAACCTGGAGACTTGCACTGAGGCTGACATTGCCCATCCAGGCAGCTGGCAGAAGGGAGGAGAGGGTTAATGAAAGGAAAATTGTTCAAAGAATTTACCGGCCACGTCTTGCTGAGGATGAACTGTGGGATTTCAGTCGCAAAGGAGTCTTAGAACAGGAAACTGCTGGTAAAATGAAAGCTTGAAGAGAAAAACAGGAAGCCTGAAAAACCTGAGTGAAGCCCATGAGCATGTAGCTTGAGGTCAGGGCAGGAAATCACTCATGCAAATGTCAAGATCTGCAGAAAGCAGGTGCAAGCAAAGCATCAGAGCAGCTGGTGGTGAAGTCTTTTTGACTAAAAGCAAAGCAAAACAAAATGGCCCTCCATTTCCATTTTGCTTCTCTGTTAAGTCGAAGTACCAGATGAGGAACAAACGTGGTTCAGTTCTTTGTCTCCTAAATCTTCCTCCTCCAGCAAAATGTTTCAGAAATGTGAAGAAGATTTAGGAACCAGCCACAATGCTAATGGCACATTATGTGCCTTCATTGATCAAGACATAACTGAAATTCATGATTTAACTTTAAGCATAAAGGAACCTTGTGCTGCATCCTTGGGATGTGCTTGAGTATAAAGTAACTCACAGAATCATAAAATCATTAAGGTTGGAAAAGACCTCTTAGATCGTCTAGTCCAGCCATCAGCACATCACCACCATGCCCACTACCCATCTCACTCAGTGCTATAGCTGCCATTTTCTGTAACAACTCCAGTGGTGGTGACTCCACTGCCAACGCATCACCACTGCTTCCGAGAATAAGTTTTTCCTGACATCCAACCTGATCCTCCCCTGGGTCAGCTTAAAGTCAGTGCCTCTCGTTCTAAGTCAGGTCCTGCTGAAGCCAAGAGAGGGTAGGCATTTGGAGAAGGCATTGATGCAGATGTCAGTCTGGAAAAAACTAAGGTCCATGCTCAAGGAGCCAAAAGCAATAATCCAGAGAGCATCCAGAGCCAGGAATAAGGATCTGGAAAGAGACGTGCGGAAGCAGTCCCAAGGTCTAGCTGTAGAGAAGCAAATGATGCCTGAAGGACCACTTTCAGGGTCCCTTTGGAAAGGCTGATTCTTCCATCCATCCTCCGTGGTGTTCAGCTGGGGAGGAAACCTGGTGTGTTCTTTTGGTGGAAGCATTTTAGAAACAAAGAGAGCTCAGTGTTTGCCTAATCCCTGGAGACCCCATGGCCACAGCCTGAGAAAGGAATGCTCTATGCTGGCCCACATGACCTTCATCCTTGACTTCAGGAACTGCATCATTCCCTGTGTCAATCTGTTCTGGATGTACCTGGGCTTGAACCATTGGCACCTTTGATGGGCAACATGAAGGCCTTCACCTGGTTTCAGGAAACACCTGGAAACCACATGATATGAAGTTTGCTGAGTGGCCTTAGCTAGGAAGAGGGCAGACCAACCCATCTTCTGCATAACCTGCATTTTGTCTTAACGTTTATCTTCAGACCCAAGTTTGGCAGAGCTAAATGTACCCTGCTCCCATTGAGCAACCCTGATCATTCACTGAGAGGCTCTGTTCCAAACCACTGCACCAGCTTTTGTGTTTCAGTGTAACTGACATACACCCATGCTGTACTTCTCTGCCTCCAGGAAAGCTCAGCATAAAAAAGCAACTCACTGGGAATAAGCAGTGACTTAATTGAACTATTCATTTACCAGGAGCTGATGGGGACAGGGATGCTGCGAGTCACAGCCCACTGTGACCTATGATCATTTCTCCTTCTCCAACATGTAATGGTGGCATCAGGACTGTACACTGCTGAGGTAATGAGGTTGTGTAAGACTCTGAGGTGTCTAAATATCTGTGTGCCAAACACAACCGAGTAAGGCCATAGTGACACTCCTGCTGTGTTTTGTGCCTTGCTAAAACAGCTTACTTAATTTGTGAGCTCCAAGGACATTATGTGCACTTTGGAGGGTAAAATAGATGGAGCAAAGAGAGAAAAGAGAAAAATAAGATCACACCACTCAGCATTTCCACAGCATCATTTACTGTGAGACAGGTAAAGATGCCATGCCAGGGCTTCCATTCATGATTTTGCATTATCACTACAAATAGTATTTCCATAAAATAAAAAAAATAAAAAATAAAAAATCCATGACAAAACTTCTTAGCTTCTTGCTGCTCACAGGGTGGATTGTCTCTGCTCCAGCCAGCTGTGTGCAACTCTGTTATTATTCATGAATGTTGCAGAGGCAGCAGGGGTGGAGGGGGGAGGAAGCTTTCCATGCCTGAATGCAACAATGGAGAATATCTCACCCAGATGCAGATGGACATACAAACCCCAGTTCCACCAGGAATAGGGAGGGTTTTGAGGAGCTAAAGTAAAATTCCAGGAATAATGCAGGAAGGAAGGAATTAGCATAGGCTTGCTGCTCTGCCCAGGCAGAAAGCTGCTCTGTAGCACTGCAGTCTCTGGCACCAGCACCCAGACAGAGCATTCCCCTGGATTATTTCCCTGGAGTGCCATGGCTGATGTAGACACTGAGGAATCAAAGTCGGTATTTTAAGCAGAGAATACAGCAAGCTTTCTGAAGGCTGGGGAAGCAAAAGCAAACAAACCTCAAAAACACCAAGCCTTGCTGGCATGCACTTCCCTGCTTGCATCTGCGAGCAGGATGAAGCAGCTGTAAGAGTGATGCAAATGGCCAATTAATCTCAATTGCTGCAGACTCTTAATCCTAATGAATTACTTCTAAAAATGCAGGGTGTATTTAAACAGCTTTCACGCAAGGAGAAATTAGGAAATTGCATGTCCAAGTGAGCTAGTAAGGAAAAAGGAAATACAATGAAAAATACAGTGTGCCTTGCATTCACTTTTCCAGCCAATTCCAAATGCAGCAATAATTTGATTATTTTAACATTCAGGCTCAAGGATTCAAAAACGTACACAATGTGGAGTGTCTGATTGCCAGACCAGATAAGCAATCTGCAGAAGTTTCCTTTTCTCTCTCTTCTGAAAAGAGGGAATAGAAATCCATTTCTGCTGCAGAGCACAGCGGAGAATTTAAGCTGTTTAATTTTCTGCTGCGGGAATCTGTAGTCATCATTTGATGTCAAATCTTATTTTTGGTGCTTAGACAACCTCCATTCCCACAGCACAGCTTTGGTGTTTAATGGGCAGCTGTTGCCATTGCCCCTATAGAGATGACAGCTAAGATCCTGGGCAGCCTGAGCAGTGGTTTGGCCGTGGACCTCGATGATCGTTATGGTCCCTTTCAAGCTAAGCCATTCTGTGATTCTATGATTCTATGACGTCTCAAAAAGACTTGCTCTGGTCCATTGGGTGATCCTCAGAAGAAAAACAAACCAGTGTCATAACACACAGGTGCACTAGTGGCAGTGCTTTATAACACCATTGAGTCCCCATCAGCCCTTCTGCTTTGTCTTTCACAAGCCCTTCATTCCTTCTATCATGTGCTTTGCCCTCTCTCCTGCACAAATCTTGCTCAGAAGTTTGGGAATCCAAAAGGAATAGTGAGAGTTTCACTATTTCACACCTCAGGCTCAAATCCCATCTGTTTTGGCTTGCTGTCCTCCTTCCTACTTGGAAGCACAGTGTGCTACAACATGGTCCTTGATGGTGTGATGAAGGACAAGAGATGAGTTATGATTCAGACGAGAGCTGAAAGCTGAAGAGACAATTTACTTGATGACTTCTTTTCACTTTCCTCTACCCAGGACCGAATCTGAAGCATTTGAAGAGATTCACATCCTTCATTTCTTTCACGTCTTCTGCAACCAGAAGAAGTTTCTCTTCTTTCTCATTGACATTTAGGGATAGATTACTGCTTTGCAGAGCCAGCTGCAGAACTGGGCTTTCTTAGCTTCGTGATGCTCTATTTTGCAAACTTTAAGCAGCCCTTCTTCTCTAAATGTTTGGAAGTGAGAGGGAGAAGATGGGAGGAACAAATGAGCTAAAGGGTCCCTTGCAAGAGAATGAAGACACTTTCATCAGTATCTCATCATCCACCAGATGTGACCAGCCCTGCTACATGGCAGGGTGAATTTTGAATCTTAACACACCGTGGACCTCCCAAGTGAATTTAGACAAGCTTTTCTGGTTGCCTGCCTTGTGCCATGGGGTTGCAATTGCAGGGTATGGTGAGAACCTGAGGGTGTCTTTAGGATGTGTGGACAAGAACTAGCACAAGGCATTCCCCATGGCCTGAGTTTGTCACCTGCCTTCTGGCCCCTACTCTTTGCCAGATTTAGGATGAATTTAGTGGTCAGATTGTACAGACAGCCACACGTGTCACTATCCATCTTCTTTGTAAGGAGATGCTGCATAAATGTAAAATGGTATAATTAATAAAACATAATGCCTTGTTTTTTTTCTCGCTGTTTCTACCTCCTGTGCTCTCCTCTCACATTTTTGCTGGGCTGATGGTTTTCTTACATGCCCCAGATAACTCGTGGAGCTTCATCTTCACTGCTCTTTCCACCCGCCTGCTCCTCTTTCATTTTTTATAAAGATGTTCTTGCTCTGCCAATGTGCTCTTAATCTCACTGGTAAATCAAGGTGCCCGTTTGTCTTTTGCTCTCTATCTGCCTTCCTGAACATAAATCTAGGCATTGTGCTGGAGCTTGGCCAATACTAGGGCTAGTTTCTTCCTTCTCCCTTCTCTATTCACCGTTGTGCCCAGCAGGTGGATCTGAGAGTGATCCCTCTCCACTGAGATTGGTAAAAACAAATAGAAAGGCTGAGGAATGACCTATCCCAGGCTCCACACTACAGAAAGCTGTTAGATGTAGTGTTACTCTCCAAGGGCCCAAACTGAGGACAGTGCAGGGTCTCCCACTGGCTCCATCTGATGCTCTCAGATTTATGCACTCGGTGTTTCTCTGCATCTTTCTGCTCATCTCACCACCACTGGATTCAGACCTGGGCATCAGAGAGACCCACAGTCATGGTAGCATCAGGTTGATCCTGGCCTTGCAAACATGCCATGTGCGTGGGACAGTTTTGCTCTGCGCTCTTCACCTCAAAAGAACTAGAAGAACTAAATGTGGAGTTAAAGAAAAAAAAAATTAAAAAGAACAGCAATTTCAGCTGGATTCAGAGCTGTTTCATATGTCTGGGAAGGATATAGAGGCATAATCAAGATTTATGAAAGAAAGGAAATATTTTAGGAG